CAGAAAGGGATTTTTTTAAAAGAAGAATTCATGCCTGTCATTCATACAAATCACAAGTGTTTCTGACAGGGTGTTTCTTATTTTCAGGAGCTGAGTTTCGAAATATATATATATATATTGTTGTAATCTTTTTTCTCCTTCAAATGTAATACACAAAAGAACAACATACAATTGAATGGAATAAATAAACGTTTTCAATATCAATTGCTTATACACAAAGTAAATTTGAAGTATATAAACATAATTTATACAGTCATGTAAGTCAATTGTACATGTTATTCACTCGATATAAAAACAAACCATGACACATCTGGTTATTTTACTGGAACAAGGAGCAAAGTCCTGCTCCTCCCTGCCCTCATCCTCCCTGCCCTCATCCTCCCTGCCCTCCCCCTCCCTCACACAAACACACTCACACACTACTCACTCAGTGGATGTCTGCTAACATTCTCAACTAAAGAAATATACAAAATATGTAAGTTAACCAGGCTGCAAAATAAAGTTACACTTTAACAAGCTCACGATGGGGAGGAAAACAAATCTTAATTAACACTAAGCTGCTCTCACTATAGAAAATGTAATCCCAGCTTTCCCATTCTAATGGCAATTTTCTTGTCCTCATCCCGATAATTAAAAATGGTTTTCCTCATCTTTTCTAAAGTTGGAACTCCCCCCTCTCTCTCTCTCTCTCTCTCTCGATCTCGATATATACATATAAACAAATATGTATACATATATATACATATATATATACATATATATATATATTCATCCAATCTATTTAGCTATCTATCTACACTGTTGGTCATAATTGTGTAATATTTATTTTTACCCCAGTTTAGGGAAGGATTTTAAAAAATTATTTATTTCTAATAAATCTAGATAATGGCATACATTCTCAGATTTTATTGAATATTAATTTGCGAGTGTTTGTTTTGCGTGACTGCTTAATCATATGTGTGCTACTATGCTAATCAGCTAAGGAACCTACGTCTTTAAGTCATAATTGACAGTAATGAGGATTAATGCCTCACAAAAGGGCACTAATATATAGCTGATCGACACGATTTTTATCATGGGGCCTCACAGTAACGAGGCCATTGCTTAGCCCCTGAATCATGACTGTACGCAGTGTTTGCTAGGGTACGCGGCCCCTTCCACAAATCCCCCAAAACGAAGAAAATGCAATAAATTGTCAAAAATTCATTGCATTTTTCCCCGGCCCCCAACAGGAAAAATTCCTTTGTGTGGCCATGCATTATGGTTTTAGGCATGGCCACACAAAGGAATTTTTCCTGTTGGGGGCCGGGGGAAAATGCAATGAATTTTTGACAATTTATTGCATTTTCTTCGTTTTGGGGGATTTGTGGAAGGGGCCGCGTACCCTAGCAAACACTGCGTACAGTCATGATTCAGGGGCTAAGCAATGGCCTCGCTACTGTGAGGCCCCAGAATAAAAATCGTGTCGATCAGCTTTATTAGTGCCCTTTTGTGAGGCATTAATCCTCATTACTGTCAATTATGATTTAAGGATGTAGGTTCCCTAGCTGATTAGCATAGTAGCACACATATGATTTAGCAGTCACGCAAAACAAACATGCGCAAATTAATATTCAATAAAATCTGAGAATGTATGCCATTATCTAGATCTATTAGAAATAAATAATTTTTTAAAATCCTTCCCTAAACTGGGGTAAAAATAATTATTCCACCCTTATGACCAACAGTGTAGTTATCTATATTTTTATTTGTCCATCTTTCTATATGCTCCCCGTTTGTCTTATCTTCTCTACCGTCCCTCGAATAAAAACCGAATATGTATTAAAATAACAGTGGATGTCAAAAATGAATTTTCCTTCATCAGTGGAAGAAAACAATTGAATGACATTCAAACCAAATACATAAACCCACGATGTTTCACATGGAAAATACATGTAACTTTTCCTATACAGTTTAAAACTCACTGTTGAATGAATATTGAAACAACAATAGATGGCAAGACGCTTGCGGGTGAGAGATACAATATTGTTGTTGCATATCTCTTCGATACATTACAGTCATGTTGAAACTAAAACATTAATGTTTTGTTTAAATAGATTGCATCGAATACATATTACAGGATATTCATTTTATACTTGAGAATGGGCGATAAAAAAGGCCTTCGACCGTTTTCACTCACCCCTGAAAACCTATGAGCTTGCCAGTTCGTTTAAAGGTTGTATAATTGACGGGGGGGGGGGGGAACTACTTTATAAAGGTCATATTCCGGGAAAGAAATCCGATCATTTTCAAGAACCCAGGAATCGGGGATTTAGGAAAGGTCACATCTATTAATTAATGCACGAGACCTAGGAACTGGCAAGTGAATCCAATGGCCTCTGATTCTCGAGAGTAGATAATATTTTCATTTCACCTTTAGGCCAGAACATACACATGATAAGGGTGCCATTGGGGTGCAGATTATTTGCATACACCTACGCGTATTTGGCAGAATGTGCTGATATTCTAGCAGAAAGACACCCCTATTTGTTAAGTGTGTACAGGGTGCGCGCTGTACGCATTTGTTACTGATACTTGTCGACGTTGTTGTTGTTGCTATGTGTTGTTATTGTTGTTGTTGTTGTTATTACTATCAACTACTACTACTACTACTACTACTACTACTACTACTACTACTACTACTACTACTACTACTACTACTACTAGTACTGCAACGACTATTACTACAATTACTACTACTACTACTACTACTACTACTACTACTACTACTACTCCTACTACAACTATTAAAACTACCACTACTAATACTTCTCTTGTTGTGTACTGTAAGTGTGATTGTGGTTGTTGTTGTCGTCGTTGTTGTTGTTGATGGCTAAATGGATTCCCTCATGTTAGACTGTAATACATTCACATGAAGACACTGTGGTTTTCACATCTAGTTTGTCCGCCCAGCATCATTATACTCATAATAGCTATAAAATGATTAATTTTATCTCCAAACTAATTACTGAATACTCCTTTTGCAAAGTAATATGCAATATTTTATAAGACTGCGTCGATCACTCATAGATAAACCGTCCTTGAAATCCATATGAAAACTGTTAGGGTGGTATGGCATTTTTGAGAAAGGATCTTTCCACGAGCGTAGACAGCTATAGATGGCGCCCTTGTGTTGGGATTTGAGTTTTGTTGTATTCTTCGTGATTAGGAATCGAAATCAGTATATGTACATGTACTTCATGTTGGGATTCTTATTTGCTTACACAAGTCATGTAGAATATGGAAATAACTTCCCGTTAGTTTCCTGCTTCCGAACGATCTAACAGACGTTGAGGCTATCCATCTCCAAATAGTATTTCTTTCTTGGGCGTATATAGTGATCACAAAGTTCTGTACATATAATACATTTCGTCTTGAGTATGCGCTCATAATAATTGTTTAATTTATGAAAATATTTGTCCTATACAAAAGGCCAAATAAAAATATGAAAGGATAGTTTTTTTGAGATATATCGAAAATAACGAAATCAAGCAACTATGACAAGAAACAGAAAATGAATGTGTTTGTACAACCATTCAAACAAAAAGCGCTGAGTGTTGTAAAGAAATTTTTTTATCTTTTTTTCAAATCATAAGCAAAATGTATGATATCAAATCGAAAGAGCTAGCATCAGCGGGTGATGAGAAAACAATGAACTTTCATCAACCTGTATTGCGCACCTGTTTCGAGTTTATCATTTGAACTAGAACACTCAAACCACGGTGACTGTGGGTTCAGTACACCTTCTGTGACTGAGCATTGGCACACTTCAATACTGTATTTCCTCTGTCCAGTTACAACATAGTTCACGTACTATTTCTCCATTGAGTAGCCGAAGACAAGCAGTAATTCTAAAGTAAATCTGAGATTTATGGTTTGACCCCCCCCCCCCCCTATCTCAAAGAGGTTTAGGAATCAGAGTTTTGTGTCATTGTGTCAATCTCGATTTTTTTTTATTTTTTTATATATGATTGATGAATTCATATTGAGCAGTTCGCATTTTACTTGTCATTTAAATTTCTTTGTATGCTTGTTTTGTTAAAAAAAAACATTCATGAATTGTTAGCTCAGTTTTTGGAGGAGGGCCACTCCTCGTTGCCAAATTAAGTACATTTCTGGACTAGAATGAAGGATGTCACGAGGTCAGGGGGTGGAATATCGGACAATTTCTGCTGAAAAATTAGCTTAACATTTTCCAACAAACAAAAACAACAGTCATTATTTTATATTATCCGACAATCACTGACAACGCTCAACTGTGAGTGAGGTGGCGCCCCCCCTCATGAATAGCGCCCTTGCTTGAAATCAATCACATAGGTTTTGGACGGACTGTGTGACATAACATAGTTTCTAATCAAAGATATATAACCTCATTCGGGCTTATATCAGGATTTCCGTTGGGAGTGTAATATTTTCCTCTTTTATCCTAAATATATGACATTTATTTGGATGTTTTTTCTCTATTGTTGTTTTACTGCCTGACCCTGACACTACTACAAGGTAAAGGGAAACAGGAACGAAAGGCTGAAGAAACTTCGCTGCTTCCTTTCGAGCCACAGAGGTAATTAAAGTTGCACAGAGCATTTTGGGGAGAAGAATAGTTTTGAGTTTCGGCATTGACGTAGGCCCGCCTTTTGCCTACACACGCGAAAATCATGAACAAATATTCGTGTATTACAAATAATTTAACGAGCAACGGAAATTGAATTTTCACTGATTTTTCATCATGTTTAACCAACATTCATTTTTTTTCTCATTTGTATACACGGAGCTTTCTTTAATGCTGCTTTAAAAGACGATTGTGTTTACCTTTAAAAGTTTAGGTCCTTGTACTGTTTATCGAAGGAAGCAGAGGTTTACAAACAAAGTTACACATGCAAAGCCAAGTTTAGTTTAAATCTAGTTCACTTTCTGGAAAGTAGCAGTAGAGACTCTCATTCCAAGCTTGTGCTAGAGAGAGGACGGTTTCAAGTGAAAATGGAAAGTCGGGTTCTATTGTATTTGTTTGTTTTAGGATTCGCCCTGGGTAAGTCATGTTTTATTTGTTTGTGTGTGTATGTTTGTTTGTATGTTTGTATGTTTATTTATTTATTTGTGCGTTTGTTTTTTAGTTTTGTTTTGTAATTACATTATGACTTTAGTCAAATGTAGAGAAGGCGGGGAGGGGGTATAGGTGGATGTAGCCACCGCCTCCCCCTTAATCGTATAAAAGAATCGTATAAAAGAATAATGTTAAATTAACATAAGTCTAACGGCCACGCCACGCCGTCTTCTATTATGATGAAATAATAGAATCGAGCTCCGAGTGAAATCAGGTTTTTGTATTGGTCCGCTAGCTATATGACTTTCACTCGGGGGTGGGGTTAGTCTCAAATAGACCACTGTATCAGTGTATGATATTATATTATTAAAATATAAAATACAAAGAGACAAATCCAGAAATAAAGTGCTTGGACACGATTTGAATTACGATGTCACTTGGTAATTATTTAATTAATATGAATGACAAATCTCATCCATCAAATCAGAATAATAAAAATAATACAATTTATATATAAATGTTGCAATAAATATAATTGCAAAGTATTCTTAAGAGTTAAAGGGCGACTTAATTCTTACTTAATTAGTTACAGTCTAATGGGGAAGGGAAGGGATAGGTTAATGAAAATGAAGTTAGTAATTATGGCCACTTAGCTCGCTGATATTTCGATCGAGGACTTGACTTGGGACGAGATGCGACTGGGACGAACTTGGACGAGACTTGGAGGAACTTGACTTGGAGGAACTTGACTTGGCGGGAACAAATCTGGACAGGATTTGACAGGAACGAAGCTGGACGTGACTTGGTGACTTGGCGGGTACGGGAACGGGAACTTGACTTGGACGAAACTGGAAGTTGACTTGGACACTTTGATGGTTGTGTGAAAGTCCTTTAGCTTAAACGTTAAAGCTTTGTTTCAATTTAACTGTTGCTGCTTTCTGTCGATCATGAAATTCTCTCAACCTGATACTGTTGCTCTTTGCTAGAATATATCGTAGAAGGTCAACCAAAACTGTTGCTTCCCTTCTCCAAAGTCCAAATCTTGAAGTCTGTTCTATATTTGATCTTGGAGCACTGATGAGTTAGAGATGGGTTAGGAGGAGAAAGGTTCCGGGTGGGGACGTTCTAAGTGAGGGGGTTCCAAGTGAGGATTTCATGCAGGGGATGGGGGTTTTATACCTAATTACATATTCACAATCTCGATTCTGAGATCTCCTCCTACAAAATATTCTTACACTAAACTTCACTATTTCATTATAATTACAGTAGGTGACTGGGTGGGCATAACACTTGATGGACACTCAAACAGTGTTCCTGGACCATTAATCCTAACATTCTGATTGGGCGAAAGTAAAAATAAGGGGAAGGAGTAGAAAAGACAAAGGCTCATTGGACAGTTGGGTATATCCCTGCTAGTACTTCCTGCGCTGACCCAACTCCTTTTCCAAGAAAACAAATGCTTTGTCTTCCAGCCCAAACTGGAATTCGCAGAGGCAGAAGGACAATTTATATGTTTGCTTATCATCAAAGATTGTCAACATTAACTTCCTCTCCCTGTGTTTCTAATCCTGGGGTAAATAAATCTAAGTCTTGACAGGGAGGTGTTTTAAAAGTTCTGGGAACACTGGATGAATAGGGGCTTTGTCTACTATAGGTCATGTAACTATTCTATGTGAACAGATTTAATCCTATCCTTTCCTTCATGTGAATGGACCTAAACTCCAATGAAATAAGGGGCATTCTCATTATCTACAAACACTCTATTCTTGGAATACTTGGACAAGTGGAAATGACCAGGTTTCATCCTACTAATAGTTTGTTGACCTCCAGTAGAGAGGATGATGAAAATAGGAGAGAGAGAGAGAGAGAGAGAGAGAGAGGGGGGGGGTATCTGGTTTAAAGGGAGATATCTCTACTTTGCTACATCAGCATTCCTTGTTGGTCACAAAAGTCTATTATAGACATTCGAGCTACCCCTCATGAAGGTTAATAAAAACGTGGATAAAGAAAAGCGTTGACGAAATAGAGTATTTTGTCAATAATTTTTATTTTATTTGCAGTTTTAACTCATTACAATTGATCTTCAGTTGCTCATAAGAGAACAACTTGATTGAGGCGGCTACCAGTCACCTTAGATATGTAATATGTACCACTTCGGAGTGATTCTATTTTGTATTATACATCTTTCTTTGCCTCATTATTTATTCAACCAGACATTCAGGCCTTCATCCCAAGCACGGCCGGTACAGACTTTGTCATCCCTGCATTCTATGCTACATACGGTGACGATGTGGTCTATGACGAGAACCCTAAGGTTTACATATCCGGTGTAGACTCATCAGCAAGCATCAACCTGACTGTCCCGGGGCAAGAGAAGTCCCTGCACTTCTCTGTAGGAGAAGGATGCACCATACCCGTCCTCCTTAACTGCCGGTTGTCCGCTAAACAGGTTGGTACGCAGACAAGTGCGCTGCATTTGGTATCCGATGCTCCGATCGCTGTCCGGATGCACCAGGAGCACTTGGTGCCGAATATGCCGACGTCGTTCCTCTCCTTGCCGACATCGATGCTAGGTACGAACTACTTTGTTGTGGATCCTGGAAACGAGGAGTCCCCTACCGAGCTGATCATCACGGCCGCGGAAGGTAGAGCAGAGGTAACAATCACACCAAGTTCCGTCGTGGATCTTGACGGGATGCAGTACGACGAAGGGGACGACTTCCGGGTTAACCTTCAAAGGTTCGAGTCGCTAATTCTTCGGAGCGAGGGTGACTTGACAGGAACCGAGATTGTCTCGGATAACCCGGTTTCTGTCATTGTCGGGGATCACTGCGATCCGAACATGCCGGGTACAACTCTTTGCAGACAACCTCATCAACTTCTACCGACGAACCTATGGGGCAAAAGATACGTGGTGACGTCATTCACGTCGTCAGAGGACAGCGTTTATCAGATATTTGCAATATCTGACCAGACCACGGTTCGACTATTAGGAGGTGGATCCGAGGTAGCGTCGGCTCTGATCCGCGGGGAATCATCAATCGAACGAGCGCGTCCGAATAACATATACGTGGTGGAATCCGATAAACCGGTCTACGTCCTACATTACGAGGGAGATGGACAGGCTCTTACGGCTTTAACTCCGGATAGTCATCGGGTCGCCGGATCCTCCTCAGTTCCTGCTATAACCGCCAGCAACCGAAATGCCCAAGCTCACTTGCTTATTACGACAGACTGTGCCAGTCCCGAGGGCTTCAAGTTGGACCTCGAAGAACTCCCAAGATCGAAATCCATAGTGAGGGCCACCGATGATGTTGATTGCGTCATTCGAGTGCCCGTGGACAGTGGGAATCACGTGCTACATCACGAGTCACCTGATGCAACCTACTCCGTCACTGTGCACGTGACCGATGATGAAATGTCCTATGCCTACCCTGTGGGGTTTTCAGTTAACGGTATTCAAGATTCAAATGAAGAGTTACGACAAGGTAAATTATAAATCTTTAGATATTATGATAACTTTCTCCTAATCGCTCTCTCCGAACATAAACTTAAAATACAACAGAGAAAATAGGATTGCTTCTTTTAAACAGTTGTTGTCCTGTTGCTTGTTGTGCCGATTCTAATTATGTTTAAAGGTAATTCATTGTAGCTTGTAAACACATTTTCAGCCAGACTATTATCAAAAATTAGGTTTTGAAATTGCTTGGCGAAATGGGGATCCAACGTTTTCTCCGGCGACATTTTGCTCTGGGCTTTATTTCGTGAAAAGAATAGGGTTAGTGTTCAGGTTGCAATTGTGTTTTAGATTAGGGTTTAATAGGGTTAGGAAAAGCGTGGGTCCGAGGTTGAAGTTAGGAGCATGTGTCGTTTATCCGATGAAATACATTTAAATTAAAACATCGAAATGTCTTTTAACACACAAAGTACACATGACGTAGTTGGGCTCCTCAGTTTTCTAAAGCATTAAATATTAAATAAAGGTCATTTTCATCATCTTCTTTTCAGACATTACATTTCAAACTACGTTTTATTCATACATATATTCATACTTATAGGAATTAATATCACTTTTTGCAGATGATACGCCTGTCACAATGTTCGAGAACCGACCCAAGAGAAAAAGTGGCGTCATGCTTACTTGGAAGAAACCATCGTCTTGGCCTGGACAACCTCAGGGTTACCGTATCCAAATTAAATCAGGTAACTCAAGCAATCACGAAAAAGTAAAAATTAAAACCCTTTTAATCCCGATTATTTATTTTCATCAGGGATTTATTGTAAAGATTTTTTCGACATGATGTACAACTGCTGAATTCCGTTTACGTTATCCAATCTGAACTATCTGTTCACCATATTACGCCCTACTTACCAATCGGAATGTAACAGGAAGTCTGTTCCGTATAAAAGGGCTACAGAGGTGACATGTCTTTCCTTAAATCGTTCACCTATGTGGAAGTTTTCCATTTGAAGTCAATTTAGAAAAGGGTCAATCGTATACAATCTTTAACCGTTTGGAAGGACAAAGGTTAAAACTAGTCTCGAAGTACTCTTGGAATAGTGCGATGCGTAGAAACAAAGGATCAGAGGCTCGAGATCACCGAAAGGCTATATTTTTTAACTGAGCGCCGGAAAATAAGCAGTCAATAATTATGATTTCGAAATTTGTTTTGTATATCACCACATACCGTGTGTGGATCCTGTGAAAGGATTGTATGCCTGACAAAATATAACCTTTTTAGCACTATCTAATGGTTCAAAAGAAAAGGTTGCTGCGCACGTATTAATCCGCATGTTCAATTGTAATTACATGCAAATGATGTATTGCAATCTTACATTTTTTACGCGCAAAAAAGTACCATTGCTTTAGTGTCCAATATTAATTGAAGCAGTCCATAATCATTTTTCCCCGCATTTTCACCAAACAGAGGCAAATAGAATCTTCCAGCACGGTATGTAAAAATTAACATAAAATGCCCTATACTCACTGGCGTAGCGTCGGTCCACCCATTGAGGGAGTGCTGGAACCATTGGGGGGGGGGGCACCGGTCTTACTTGGAAAATGAAATTCAAATCTACAGGGCTACATCTCTGTTAATGTCATATCCTCCTTCTCCCTTCCCCTTTCTCTTAGTTTTCGCCTTTTCTTTCTCTTAATACTATTGTGTGCACCGTGCCCGGCCTCTCTAGCTACTCCAGTGGCAGTATTACACAAATTGTTTTTCTATGTCATTTAGGAAACTCGTTGAAATTAAGATACTCCCATCCATCCAAATTGCAAAATAATATATTCACTTATCATCATTGTCAAGAAGTAAAAGCCAATCATTGTCGATGAAACATGAAGGATCATACAGAAGTTGCCACATGGTATTATTGGTGCATTAGACATGTTCGTATAATGTTTCGCAGCTTCGCTCCCTGTAAGCCCACAAGCAACATAAATAATACTGTAGTCTACTTCGCCAATTGTATGCATGGAATATTTATTGCACTCGCTTGATTCACTTCTTTAATATTGTCTTTTGTCTCGTCCTGGTCTGATGTCCTCTTTTATGCTTTCATGTTTTCATGTCTCTTTTTTTTGCTAGCTCGAGACCCTGGTTTCTGCCAGTGCCGTAATGTAATCATTTATAATCCTCGACGGACAAATTACTGGATCCGCAACCTGAGTGTGGGAGAGCGTTACATCGTTGGCATACGACCCTTCGGGACCATGGGAAGTGGAGCGTCTACCATGCAGGTTATACGAAGAACGGTGTAATAACAATGTGGTTTTGGAAACATCCGATTATGGTGGTGATGGCGGTGGAGAGGAAAAAAGGGGGGACGCTCGGGCTCGAGTAATTGTATCAGTGTAGATCGACAAAGCTGATCATCATAATTATGGAAGAGTCTTTTTTAAGCACAGGGGTATGTTTTGTTTAAGGGGATAATGTTGTTTCATTATGTTATTAAGAATAATGAAGCAAAATTTAATGAAACTAAGTTTTTATTGACAAAATCTATAGCGAAATTCGTATGGGTATGTTAGACATTAAAGATGTTTAAAGATATAAAGAGATAATAAATTTGAGAAAGAAAATATAATTTAACATGTGTCCCTTTATAAATTTCATTGAAATTTTAAGCAACTGTTCTTTATCAATATCAGTATTATAACAAACTTATCGTGGATGACTCGCACTGCAGATGCAATGTACATTTGACTTGAACATGATATGGCTCCATCTACGATGACTTTACTATGATTTTTGTTAGATCCAAGATGCTATGAAATGTATTACCTTTAAACCTGTGTTCAATATTACCTAAATACATTCCACATAACATAAAATTTCTTTTCTTTCTTTAAATTGGTTCAAAATAAATATCAGATAAAGCAATTAAACGGTGTGTCAAGAGAATCACAACAATAATTGAAAGAGTGGTGATGCCCTACCGGGACGAAAACCAAAATTACATGAAACAAAGTGATCAAATTTTTAAAGGTAACACCTGTGTTGTTTACATGAGACAAGAAAATAGCGAAAGAGGAAAGAGGGAATACAGAATGAGCCAGGTAAAGGAAGAGTTAGACATTTACCAACTGTGGTAATGATTAGCTTCAGGCAATGTGCCTATTCATACTTGAAACTTCTAACTCCTGCCTACTTTTCTTACTTTCATGTTTCCTTTGTTCTGTTGCTCTCTCTCTCTCTCTCTCTCTCTCTCACATACTCTCTCTCTCTCTCTCTCTCTCTCTCTCTCTCTCTCTCTATCTCTCTCTCTATTGATCTCTATCCCACTATTCATCGTAAGTTTTACGTTATACCTATTCATTATTGTGAAAAGCAGATGAAACATTGGACACGATTGTCATGTTCAATGAAATCCCTGCCTTCGGTGACAGTGCGCCATCTATGGCCACTGACTGTCAATTAATGGGATTGTGCCGCCCTCATTCATACTCTGTAATACTACATTTTAGTGCGCCGTGTGATTCTGGCCATTTTTTTCCTCTGTATTAAAGCTTTGTTAGGTCTTGCAAAAAAAAGTTATCATGTACTGTCACGTTTTGTTGCGTTCACCCCGTTTTACTACGGCCTACTACATTTAGGTTTCTCATCCGCACCGTGACCTCCGGGTCAATTTTCGTTGACCTGATTGCCGTGGCCGCCGGGAACATAACGTAAACGTAGCATTATGAGAGATCAAAGAATATGATTATGTTAGTTTCTAGATCTCATATCCCCTCTAATAAGTTGCTATTTGGTTTGTTTAGTAATCTTTCTTAATATTACCATGATTCAAGAAAGATAATACTTTCATGAATAATAAAGCTTTCATGAATAAAGTCAATTTCAGGATTATTCAAATAACAGTGTTGATGTCTACTTGTATCTAATTTACTATCTACCGGAAGTAAGGTGAATGCCATACAACTCCTTCGTTTCAAGTTTCAACATGTTTTGGAATATCAAAAGATAGTTAATCGAAATAATGTGCATAATTCAAATTTATTTTGATTATAATCTCTTTATACACCACCCTAACGATGCCAACTTGCCTCTCATGTATCCGTGCCTCTGTCATGTCTGTGTCTGTATCTGTCTTCCCCTACTTCCCCCACCCCACCCCCACCCCTCCTCACCCAGGGGCGGATCCAGGGGGTGCGTAGGGGCGCACACACCCTGATTCCTTCCGTTAACAAATATTAACTTCCTCATCTCTCTCCGTTTCAGCCCCCCTCTCTCTCTCTATCTCTCTCTCTCTTTCTTTTTCTGTCTTTTCTTCTCTTTCTCTCATCTTCATCCAAACCTACCCTCAAAGTCCGCTGTCTCACACTCTCTACTTTATCCCTTACACACATACACACACACACACACACACACACACACGCACACACGCACACACACACTCCCACACACATACGCCCAGATACTCCCCCTCATCCACCCTCTCTATCTTTCTATCTCCCCTCCCCCTCTCTATCTCTCCCTATCTCTCTCTCTCTCTATTTCCCCTCCCCATCTCTCTCTCTCTCTCTCTCTCTCTTTCTATCTCCCCTCCCCATCTCTCTCTCTCTCTCTCTCTCTCTCTATTTCCCCTCCCCATCTCTCTCTCTCTCTCTCTCTCTCTCTATCTCCCCTCCCCATCTCTCTCTCTCTCTCTATCTCCCCTCCCCATCTCTCTCTCTCTCTCTATTTCCCCTCCCCTCTCTCCTTCTCTCTCCCTCTCCCTCCATCCCTCCCACTTTCTCTCTCTCTGTCCATCCACCCCCTGTTGCCCTTGATCTCGGATCAAGTGTCCAAAGCGTCGGAGAAATGAGAGGCGAATCAGGTTAAGGTTTTTGCGATCGTGTAAGCAGGACCGTGGATGGAGGTCAAGATCGAAATACTACTGCATGAAGGGATAATCAAATTGGATTTCGAGATGAGTCAAAGACTAAAGAAATGAAAGGGGTATTAGGATATGAACATGTGAAGGGAAAGGAGAGCAATTATCTTAATGTAGGTCAACAAACCCGTTACAATCAGTCCTACCTAAATTGATGATCTATATACTTTGATCAGAGTTGAGAACAGGCTTTTATATCTGTTATCATGATGATGATGATGATTCACAGCATTTGTATGGCGCCATATATCTGTTTCAAAAAACATTCAAAGGCGCGATCGACCTCCTCCAATAAAGTCATCTGCACACAACAAAGGAAATCAGAAAATGTTATAATATAACAAAACAAAGCAAAATGGCCAGTCTTTACATTATCATGGTAGTTAGGCTGATTTCAAACCGACTATTAAGGGTTTGCTTTTTATTTTTTAAACCACTTGGTATATTGAGTAAAATGGCGCTTGCCGAGAGCCCCATTGTCTGCCATCTCTTTCACGACAAACTCGCGGCATATAACATGTTTTCGTTTGCAGTGTACGTCGCGATACATACAATAATGGATGTACATACAATGTATCTCATCTTGCATGTATCTGAGCCGGAAATAGAAGTCTATAATTTTCATGAACTTTCAATTGCGGGTTTTCATTCAATAGAGCTTCATCAATTTGATAAGGGCGAACGTCTAGTTAAAGCTGATGAGAACACGTAATATCATAAAGATGCGGGGATAGAGATTTGCCTCTCCGGGGCGGGCTCACGGAATATGTTTAGGATATTCTCTATTAGGAAGAAAGGTCATGAGTTCGTATAATCATGTATGAATGAAGAGTTGAGATTACCGTAGCTTTTGGGGGAAATGTGTATTTTGTGGATGTGAAGTTCTTGGAATTATCTATCTGTAAAGGAGCGTTTCAACGAATACAATTATAATGAATATACCCGCCCCCAGGGTCCATTTGATCAGGTCACACAATAACTTGTTTCTAGCACCTGGACAAATTTAGTAGAACATATTTATTGGAAAAAGAAGATATAAATATAACATGAAACGAAAATACTTTTTGAATAATGCGCGCTCTATGATTCTTCTCATTCAATTAAAAAATATTCAAAATATAAACCTAGAGTACGTCGACAAGTGCAGACAATGTGTATTAACTTAACTCAATCATTATGAAGAGGATCAGAAGTATAATATGTAAAACCCGAGTAGACATTATTTTCAGTTCCCCACCAAAAGGGCCTTTCTAAAATCAATAGATAGACCTTTCGGTATAAGTTGGCCGATTGTATACAAAACATTCGCAAGCACATTCATGTAAAGTATATACATAAATATCTTTGGGCGAGTCTTCGTCATTGACAAGAATGAGGGTGGTATAATGTTCTCGCTGAACAACCACCCCTGGAACCCCTACCCCTACTCGAATGAAAAGAGAGTCAATATACGGGAAATGCCTGCAGGTTATCGTTAGAAAGACGCCCTCTCGGGGTTTTACATTCAGCTATGGACTTCCTTGTCTTGTAAGTAGGCATAATTGAGTCTGGGTGAGGGCAGATATAGATGTCTAATTAGTTTCCAAATACCTGGAGGAGTGTAGAAGAAGAGCCATCTATATGATTGTCCTTGAGATATGTGTTCATTTTGTCTGCTTCATTACTCTCCTATTCTCTTGTTCTCCCTTCCTACACCTTTTTATCTCTCGCCCTCTCTGTCAACATCTGAAATGTCTTTATATTTCCAGTTTCCTATCGTTTTCTACAGTATCTAGCACCCTCTGCCCCCCTCTGTCTCTTTCTCTCTCTCTCTCTCTCTCTCTCTCTCTCTTTCTCTCCCTCCCTGTCTCTCTCTGTCTGTAGGTCTCTGTCTCTCTCTCTCTCTCTCTCTCTCTCTCTCTCTCTCCCTTTCTCTCTCTCCCACACTCCGTCCCCTTCCTCTGCTACCAACTCTCCCCTTCAGTCTATCATAATTATAGCCTGTGTGTCTTGCTTCTCTTTACTTGGGTTAGACGTAATCGAGGGAATTATGGAACGCTGCGCTATGTTTTACGAAGTGTCAGGACAGCACCATGAAAAATGCATTACGGTCGAGGAGTAAAGGCTGTCAGACGACCCGCGCATAATCGATCATATACTTGTACCTCAATCCTCAAAGGGGGAACTGCTACTTTTTTGTATCGAGTCTTGATAAAACAAGAACCAAGAGGAGGCGATTCGTGTATGTACTTGGAATGGGGCCCGTAGATATATTAAGATTTGCGACGTTTTACTGGTGAAGATACATTTAGCGCGACTAGATTCAATGATGAATCTACAGTAGGTCGTAAAGTATTGTACCTACAATTTATTGTTTGTGTACAGCGGTGAGCCCGGCCCCAAGAAAATTCAGTGTTTTTGTATCCTTAGCAGTAATTTCCGCAATTTACCCTTTCCTCTATCTCTCTCTCTTCCTCTCTCTCTATCTCTCTCTCTCTCTTTCACTTTCTTTCTCTATCTCTCTCTCTTTCTCTCTCTCTCTCTCTCTCTCTCTTTACCCCTCTCTCACCTTCTCCCCTTCTCTCTCTTTTCTCTTATTATGTCTCCCTCCATTTCAACCTCCCTACCCTCTATCTCTCCCTTCTATAAAATAAATGCACATTACATAACTATGTAATACCTTTATTCGCTTCTTACCTTACTAACTCTGTCTCCAAATATGTGTTGTGTTTGTCTA